CCTTGCCCCTTAGCTCCTGAGGAACCTCCTCTGCTGCTCCCATGGCGAGGATTGCCTGCACCTCCTGGATAAGGAGTTGCTTGTGAGAAGGGTCCCTGAAAAGGGACGGGAAAGGGGGGTGGGAGGCAGGGAAGGGGCAGAATTGGAGAGAATATTCCACTTCTACCGTGTGAAGGACCCAGTGGTCTGATGTTATTTGGGACCACGCACGGTAGAAGTGGGACAGACCATTCAGAAAGCACAGGTAAGAATCCAGTGGATAGGCAAGTGTGCCATCCTCAGATGTCCCTTCAAAAGGCCTGCTTAGATCCAGATGGAGGTTTGGACTGGCCTTGGCCTTGCCTTGAGGGGGGGGTTGGAAGGCTTGCATCCACCGTTCCTGCCCCTTCGCCTATAGAAATCTTACCTCAGCTGAGGAGGATATGGATGCTATTGTTCCAGTTGGGGCTTGAAGTGCTTGCTTTGGGTTGCCGGCGTGTGCATTCCCAATGAGTTCATTATTGCCCTGGAATCTTTCCAACTATGCAGTTTGGAGTCTGTCTGTTCGGAGAACAGCCCCGCACCCTCAAAGAGGACGTCCTGTAGGTTTTGTTGTAACTCCAGGGGTAGTCCGGACACCTGAAGCCATGATGACCTCCTCATGGCTATGCCTGAGGAGAGGGTATGGGCGGCCAAGTCCGCAGAGTCTAGGGATGCCTGCAGCGAGGTTTGTGCCATTGCTTTCCCTTCCTCGACAATAGCGGAGGACTCAGACCTAGAGTCTGGATGGATTAGCTCTTTGAACTTCAACATGGAGGCCCATGAGTTGAAGTTGTACCTGCTGAGGATAGTTTGCTGGTTAGCTATCCTCAGCTGGAGGACCCTGATGGCATAGACCTTTCTACCCAAAAAGGTCCATCCTTTTTGCCTCCTTAGATTTGGGGGCTGGCCCTTGCTGTCCCTGATGCTCTTTCTCGTTGACCGCTGAGACTACTAGACATCATGGCTGCAGGTGCAAAAACAGATATTCATAGCCCTTGGAAGGGACGAAGTATTTTCGTTCCACACCCCTGGCGGTTGGTGGAATTGAGGCTGCTGTCTGCCACAGATTCCTGATGTTGGTCTGAACTGTCTTGATCAATGGCAGAGCTACCCGTGATGGACCTTTGGGAGTAAGAATGTCCACCATGGGGTCCTCAGCCTGATCACCTCCTCCGCTTGCATTCCCATGTTGCAGGCAATCCGCCTCAGAAGGTCCTGATGTGTCCTATGGTCAATTTGGCGGAGGGCCCGAAGCTGAGGCTCCTGCCACTGCCTCGTCAGGGGATGAGGATGGGGTGGCCGGAGGAGGTAATGGTTCCTCCTGTACCTCCGGCTCCCTGACCTCCTCTTGGACAATGTCTGCCTCTGTGGTGGCCATAGCCGAGGCGGCTGTAGCCTGAGCCTGTGGCTGGTCCTATGCTGGAGTAGCCTTGACAGCGGCCTGAGGCCGACGGGGTGGCTGGGACTGGGTGGCCTCGGATCCCTAGCAGAGTGGGGTGGTCGGTGTGCTGAGACAACCGACCGTGAAGCCCTTGAAAGGGAGCCCTGGGCCTGATGATAAGTCCTGCGAGTCCAAAAGGGCCATTGTGCAGGAGCCTGCTAGGTTGGCTGCGCCTCCCTATGCCGCCTGTGAGACCTATGCTGATTGTATCTGGAGTAGTATGAGTCACCAGAGTCCGAGGAAGTGGACCCTGAACGTAATGACCAAAGTGGAGCCGAGCCCATGAGCCGGGAGACCGGTACCCGGTCGACCTCGTAGAAGACTGGTGCCCGGAGTCTGGTGTTGTAGATCGGTAGGTATCCAGTGCCGGCGATCGAGGACATGATGTCAGTGCCGTATATTGGTGCCGACTTGGTGCCAGTGATTGGTGCTGGTTGTCTCTTGGTGCCCCGGATAGGTGCCAGTCCACCCTCGGTGCCAGAGAGGGGGAGCATCTTGTCAGTGCCAGAGATACTCTGACTGAGCATGGTGCCGGGGAGTGGTGCCATGGCGATAGCAACTGCAAGCAGTGCCGCGGATGGTGTTGAGCTGGGAACTGTGAGCACCGCATCATGGTCGGTTTATCTCTAGACAGTACCGGACTTATCGGTACTGGAGGTTTGTCTCTCAGAGCTTCGGGCTGTGAAGCTGTCATTTCAATAAGGTCTCTGCCAGCTTCAAAAGTGTCCAGGGTGGAGGGTGGCTTAAACTCCTCCACCTGGCACTGCCCTTGTGTCGAGTCACTGTGTGCCAGACTCAACGGTCCCTTCTGGGAAGCCGAAGTCAATGGCACAGGCTCATGTTGTTTAGGTGTCGATTCCGTTCTAAGGTACGCCTGTGCATCCTGACGGTCCCGTGGCTTTCCTAGCCTGTGAGCGCTCTCTTTCAGCCTTCTTATGGCACTTATGCGGCACTGGCGAGGTTGAGGAGTGCTGGGGCGCTGTCCCTGGCTTCGGTGACAAGGAGTGCCAGTGCCGAGGGTCTCTTATACTAGAGTCCTTCCTCAGCACCGTGTCGTGCACCAATGTCGGAGCGCGACATTCTGTTGCGCTCAGTCCCAGGTCCTGGTGGTCTGCAGCCGGCTGTGGGCAGATAGCGGATTCCATTAAAGAAACAGAAATCACTTTCCTTCTTGTTTCTTGGCCGAAAAGCCCTGCAGATTTTGCACCTTTCTGTTTGGTGCTCTTCCCCCAGACACTTTAAGCAGGAGTTGTGGGGATCACTGATGGGCATAGACTTATTGCAAGCACTGCAGGGCTTAAAGCCTTAGGCTAACAGCATGCCCCTCAGGGGAGATGGGGTTAGGGACTGGGGAGAGACCCTGCTCCCAACCTACTATCTACTCTAAATCAACTATAACACTAACTTGAATGACTAACAGAAGAAGGCTAAGGGAGTACTTACTGAGCGAGTGAGCATTGTTCCAATGGCCATCACGGACAGTAAGAAGGAACTGAAGAGGGGTCGGGTCAGCAGGGTTATATATTGAGCACCACGAAGGCGCCACTCCAGGGGGCTCCACAGCTGACCTGACAGGAGCTGCTAAGGGAAAAAACTTTCCAATGACCGTGCATGCGGTGTGCGCACACCTGATTGGACTCGACATAAACAAGCACTTGAAGAAGAATTTTTGTTCCAGAAAGTAGAGGAAATAACCAGGAGGACAACCATTTTAGACTTGATTCTGACCAAGAGATAGGAATTGGTAGCAAATCTGAAGGTGAAAGGCAATTTGGGTGACAGTGATCATGAAAAAATTTAGCATGATATGAAATAATATATTTCATGATTCTAAGGAAGGGAAGGAGTGAGAGCAGCAGAATAAGGACAATGGACTTCAAAAAAGCAGACTTTAAAAAACTCAGAGAATTGGCAGGCAAGGTCCCATGGGAAGAAAATCTAAGGGAAAAAGGAGTTCAGGAGAGCTGGCAGTTCCTCAGCGAGACAATAATTACAGGCACAACTGCCAAACTATTCTGATGGAAAGGAAAGATGGGGAAAATAGTAAAAGGTCAATATGGCTATAACATCAGCTTTTTAATGACCTGAAAATCAAAAAGAAATCTTATAAATATGGAAATATGGACAAATTGCTAAGGACTACAAAAGAACACCACAAGCATGGGACAAAATTTTTAAGCACCTGGAGGATAATAGGATTATAAGGAATAGTCAGCATGGATTTGTCAAGAACAAATCATGCCAGACCAACTTAATTTCCATTTGTGATAACATTACTCATGTAGTGGATAAGGGGGAAGCAGTAGACGTGATGTACCTTGATTTTTGTAAGGCTTTTGACACAATCCCGCATGCCATTCTCATAAGCAAACTAGGGAAATATGGTCTAGATGAAATTACTATAAGGTATCTGAACAACTGGTTGAAATACTATACTCAAACAGAAGTTATCAATGATTTGCTGTCAAATTGGGAGGGCATATCAAGTGGGATCCCACAGGGGTCCGTCCTGGATCTGATACTATTCAGTATTTTCATTGATGACGTGGATAATGGAGCAGAGAATATGCTTATAAAATTGGCAGATGACACCAGTCTGGGAAGGGTTGCAAGCACTGTGGAGGACATGTTTAAAAATCAAGATGATCTTGACAAACTGGAGAATTGGCCTGAATTCAACAGGACGAAATCCAATAAACGCAAGTGCAAAGTACTTCACTTAGGAAGGAAAGATAAAGTGCACAACTACAAAATGGGGAATAATTGTCTAGGTGGTAGTACTGTTTAAAAGGATCTGGAGGTTATAGTGGACCACAAACTGAATGAGAGTAGTTCATGAGATTCAGCTACAAAAAAGTCTAAAATTATTTTGGGGTGCATTAACAGTATATGAGCAACAAGAGGTGATTGTCCCTCTCTACTTGGCACTGCTAGGCACCACAATTTAGGAAAGATATGGACAAAGTGGAAAGAGTCCAGAGGAGAGCAACAAAAATGATAAAAGCTTTAGAAAACCTGATTTATGAGGAAAAGTTAAAAAAACTGGGCATATTTAGTCTTGAGAAAAGAAGACCGAGGGGGGACCTAAAAACAGTCTTCCAATACATTAAGGGCTGTTATAAAGAGGACAGTGATCAGTTGTTGTCCATGTCCACTGAAGGTAGGACAAGAAGTCACGGGTTTAATCTGCAGCAAGGGTGATTTAGATTGGGCATTAGGAAAACCTTTCTAACTCTAAGGGCAGTTAAGATCTGGAATAGGCTTCTAAGGGAGGTCATGGAGTCCCCATCATTGGAAGCTTTTACAAACAAGTTGGACAAACACCTGTCAGGGATAGTCTACATTTACTTGGTCCTACCACAGTACAGGGGGCTGGATTTGATGACTTCTTGAGGTCCTTCCAGTCCTACATTTCTATGATTTTATCCACGTAAGAAATCACAACTACAGCATACAGTTTTGCTAGTTTTTCATAATGTAAGCTTTATGGGAATTAAAGGGGAAAAAAAGAGGAAATGTAGCACTACTGAAGTCTTACCTGCATTGCCAGTACTTGGAGGTCTCTGAGGGGCTCCAGGTGATACATTTCGATGTAATGTGGCCTGAGGTGGGGAGAGCATGGTCGTGTCTGTTAATGATGAACTGGCTGCCAGTGACGGGGATACAAGGGAACTCCCTGGGTTACTGTAGGTTAAAGTATTGGGATTGGACACTGGAACCGTAACAGACATTGAAAAATTCTGGGGAGGCAAGCCAGGCTGAAAACAAAAACAAGAACATATTAATATTGCACAGTAATGTTTGTCAAGGCTATAATATTGAGATAAAGTCAGATTAATTATGTTAGTTTAGTAATTTTGTATCACTCTAAAAATGCACAATTATAAAACATCCACTCTGAAGAGAATGGTATTGTGAACTACAGTACTTAAAGATACATTTCAGAAAGGTCATTTATCAGTGTCAGGTATATTGATAGCTACAGTTTGTAAACATTAGACTGGAGATATTTTATTGATATTCATTCATTAACTTTAATCAGAAGTATGCCATTACTTAACATTTGATTCCTGATACCTGAAAGCCAGTTGATAAGCTAAACATTTTAATAATCAATGAATTTGTTGCATCTTCAAAATGTAAGAATACATAAACATGCACATTATAAAACAAAACTGAGTCAGTCATGAGACAAAAGAGAGAAGTTAGTAATGGTATCTTTTTTCTGACAGTCTTGACATTGAAATTAAAGCATTATTGTTGTTATCTATCTATAAAAATTCACAAATACTTTTTACAGTCTAGAAAATTCTATTTACCTGAATACTAATGAATTTCTGTAAATTAAGAGTGCTAATTATTTGAATATAGAAATTTTGATTGAATCTTTATTTCTTAGTTACATACATTCTCAATATGAAAACATTTAATACCCAATAAGCTTTAGCAAATACAAGGATGATAACCGAATTTTTCCAAATCATAATTTTATATCATTTTTAAAGGAATGTAATCCTGTAAAAAAAATCTGCTGTGTCTCTAATGTATACATGTTGTCTGATTTTTTCCCTTTCAATACAAATGTTCACATCACCAAAATTAGAGTCAAAATGTCAGTACTATTTGATGGACAATAGAACCTTGATAATTTGCATTAATGAGTAGGAAGCCCAGTACGCACGAATAAAGTTTTTTATTTAATAAATGAATTTTAAAAAACAGTATATCACCACAAAATGTACTGTATTCATTCATTACCTAAAGTTTAATTTTTCTTTATAATACTTCATAACTAGTGCATGTACTACATAGTACGTTTTCTGAAAGTAAAATTTAGAAATAATGCTTTCGTACAGTATCTATATCAAAGTAATTCTGAGAGATGGGGGAAAAGATCATTATTTCTTGGTACAGTTTGCAGCAAAAAGATTCAACTCCAATGAATAAAAAGCACTTCTGTTAAGGCGGCACTCTCCATATGTAAACATCCATCCAATAAGCTATATTATTGATATTTTATTTTTACATGCAGGCCACTCCAATGAACTTTTTAATATCTATGAAATTATTTTTGCACTAAATTTTTAAACATACACTACATTCAAGCAGCACAAGGCAACACCTTCAACAATTCCAAAACTGTAACAGAGGAAATGTATAGTAATATCCTCGTACGTGTTTCTTTCTACGTAGAAGCACTCAGTGATAGCAACTTTTACTGCTACAATGAAGACCCACATATCACACTGCCAGCCCATTTATTGGGTAGGCTTTTAGATCTGACCAACTACTCCACGCTGTCTGTCTTTCCTCTCCTTTGACAGCAGTCAGCACAAAGTCTTTCATAAAGGCTAGGGGACTATTTTTTGTGATATGACCCACGGGTATGGAAACAAAACCATAACAGTTATAAATTAACCATATGTAAATAAACGTAGGGAGCACTAAAGTTTACAATTGTAATCAGTCATTCTAATTATGGGAACTTTTCAGACTGGAATTCATGGCACTCAATGGAGCCAGAGATACCGACCTGAAAAGTTAAAGTTTCTATAAGAGGGGACAGCTTAGAGACTATACTGGAGACTGTGATTACTCGTGCGAACTCAGACCTAGAGAAGATGCCCTGACACACCACTTCTTGATATCTAAAGTTTCAAGTTAATCTAAAGAACTACCATTAGGGTTCAGGTTCAAAGACACAACAATGTCCACTGATGTAAACCCTAGAGAGGATTCTTCAAACTGGCAACGAGGGACAAATATCTTTCATGTGCAAGAAAAGAGAGCCTAATGAAAGAACTAATGCTACCAAGACTGACAGTACACAGTTAACCCAGAGCAATGTGGATTAACAAAGGAATTATATCCATTACTGGAGAGTTGGTTGGGGATTATAGTCACCTCTTGTGTATTAAATCACTCAGTTTTCTTGTAGATTTTAAGACGAACCTAACCAGTCCACTTTTTAATTGCCACAAGAAATCCAATGATGTACAACTGAAAAGATGTAGCAGAGTTTCAAAATTACTTTCATTAGGAGGCAATATTTTTCTTTGGCATATTCATCAATTTTCTGATTTATTCTATAAGCAAAATTAATTTACTTTGAAAGAGGAATTAATATGACCCCCAACCCACACCAATAAATTACAACAGTGGCTCCTAAACTTCTTGAACCATGAGACACCATAATTCCTCTCCAAGACTGATGCTCCACTAAGCCACTCCATAGCCCCTAGAACAATCATATTTATATGTATACAAAATTGTGAAGTGCGGTAGGCAGTCTTGGTGCTGATGTGAGGACTCAGGCCCTGGCCAGGTTTGCTTTTGGATTAGCTGTAAAATGGCCTGTGGGATGTCTTCTGACAATACAAGATATTGAGCAAAAATTTCAAGAAGTGGCTATGTGGTTTAGGTGCCTAAGTCTATTTTCAGATGTGACTTAGGCACTTGAGGGTGAAATTTTCAGAAGGTATTTAGGTGCCTGAAGATGTAGATGAGCAACTAATGGGATTTTAATGGGGGTCAGGTGCTTTACTGCTTAGATACTTTTCAAAATCCCACTAGGCATCTATTACTTCTTTAATCACCTAAATACCTTTGAAAAGTCACACCTTTAGGAGCCTACATGCTTTCGTCACTTTTGAAAATAAGACTTCGTCTTTTAAGTAAGGTGCTTTTGAAGATATTACCCATTGACTAATTTACTAGAGGGAGAACAAATTCTCTATATGATGGCATCCTCCTAGGAAATATTTTTTAAGCTGTTTCTCATTTGTTGTAACCTTGTTTCATTGCAGAGGGGTAAAAAATTTAAAATCCCTCTACACAAGTTATCTTACATCTCAGGATAAGAGTCCATCCTAGTTTAAAAAAAAAAAAAAAGTTTTAGGCAGCATCTAGAAAGGGGGATGGGTTCCTGAGAGTCAGGAACACCATAAACAAGTATGAAACTTCAGGAGCACAGGAGGGGAGCTACCAGACCCCCTGGGAAAGTTTAAGAACTCCTAGTTTACATGATAGTTTCACATAACTTTCAGAATTTCTCTCACATACACGCATATGCATACATAATAAATAGATATATCTGCTTCATAAACAATTAAACCATCTACTCTTTACTGTGGTATTCAATGGTAGGCAAAACATTGTGAAAGTTCTCATGCACATGATAAAAACACAAGCCATTCTTTAGTACTCACTGCGACTTTATGATTCCGCATCATATTATCAAACTCTTCATTAATTTTTTTATATTTTTCTTCTGTATGTGGCGTGAGCACATATGAAGTGTCAGGGTCCGGGCTGTCACACCCTCTGTGTTCCTTCTTGTTCAGAGCCTAAATAATGAAGTTAATAAAAAGAATCAACAAATAAAAAGTAGAGGTAAAATAAAAGTACTTACAGGGCCTCGCTTGAAAATAAAATCACTATCTTCATTTAGTTTGCTGTATCTGTCCTCCGATAGTGGACTGTGCTCAAAGTAATCGTCAGCATCAGGGCTCTCACAACCATTAAGGCCTTTTTTTCTTAAAGTCTGAAATACAATTGGAAAATTCACACACAAATAATACTAATTTGCCAACACTTCTTGTAAGCTGAATCATATTCAGAGCCACTGAAACTGTATAACCCTGTCAGAAATGCAATCCACTTTAAAAGACAAGCTAGGCCTTCCAAAATAAGTAGCTATGCAGGGCACCATGATGGAAGGTGCACTTAGAGGCATAGCCTCTCCGAGCTCTGATCTCATGGGTAACTACAACCTTTCATTACTTTGGCCCCCAGGAATTCCATGACCAGCCTTTGTTTTAGCTGATGCAATCAAGCAGTTTGATATACAGAACTAACATTGAAGGCTACAGGAAGAGGTTAGAATTGTTAGTGGTAATAAAAAGGGTACTTCCCATATTAGCACAAGAATCCAGTGTAGCGGTTTGTTTGTTTTTAAATAGTGTTCTCTGTAAAGAGGATGTAATGCCAAAATAAATTATTGGCCTTGTATTAATAAAGTATCAATGTTGGTTTCCCAAATGTTCTATTCTCACTAGAAAAACAGTAAAATTAACTGTGTAGAATATAGTGAGTAAAATTTCCAAATGAATGTATTATTGAATGGTTTTAACAACATATGTAACAATTTGCCTGATTAGTTTTCTTAGACTTAGCCAGCACATATTTTCCTGGTCTTCAGTCACTCTGCATACACCATGAAAACAAGTACTGCATAGAACATGACAACCCAAGAAGAACAATGCTCAAAATACAACCGTTTTTATTTTGAAACCCCTTTCTAAGACACTGTAGTTTTCCAAATGTAAGCTTTTTTCACGTGTATATCTTCTGCGGTGACTTAATTTTAATGTGATTTCTTTGTTGGGACTTTTCCTGTTTACGAAATATGGACCTGCATCAACATCCCCTTAATGTACATGTCTCCCCACTACGGAGCTATGAAATCAGCTACCAAGAGACAAGTTTTTGAACTTCAGGTCTCTTGCCTTAAAGATCTTGAAAAGTATATTCATATTCTTTAATGCTTATTTTTCCTTGGTATTATACGTTCAGAAAATCCACATAGCAAGCAAGTTCATTTTTTGTTTGTTTTAAATAGAATCTCTAAGTTTTCCACCTCTAGGAAGAGTTTATTGTTAATAGAAAATTTGTCAGTGAAATATAATCATAAACATTTAAATGTCAGAAGTGTGTGAGAGAACAGTGGTGCAGAGAGAGTCTTCATTTGGACAGACAACGTATCTTTAACCAACTTGTCTTCTAAATAAAAAAACAACCCCACCGAATTAAAATCAGAGCTACCTGTCATTTCATGTACCATAGAAGTATTGCATTCTCAAGGTTTTCTAAGCAACCTGAAAGATGTTTCATTCTGTCATAGTTTGAATTTCCATTCAACAATTGACAGTGAATATACTTTTAGAAGAAGAATCTCAGAACAATTATTTGTAGCTTTTTTTAAAAAACTGTTATCTTCTTTTTTCAGATTAATAAAAGTATATATCAATTCTTTATCAAACAGAATAAGGTGCCCAGATCTTATGGCGATAGGATCCACATTAGCAGCTTGGTAAGAAGGCAAACTGTATAATTATCTGCAATTGAATTTCTTCAGAGAAATGTTCAGTTTATGCTATGAATAAAACAACCAATTGCACTTCCACTAAAAATAAACATTTTTACTTAGTATTTTGTTAGTAAGCAACAGATTGCTTAATTTCACTTCCTAATGGTAAGGCAATACTTTATAAAATTCAGTTACATGAGATTCTCAAAGATCACAGGTCATCATTGGTGAGATATAATTCCTTCTCAAATTACTTGGCATGTGTTGTGCAGCCCACACACACTGGCTGGAACTCCCACAAAAATTTAATCACTAAATCAGCATATGGGGAAAAACAGGTGTAGCTTTTTCTAACACCTGTCACAGCATTGATCTCTACTGGTCTAACCAATCAGGTGGACACTTACATGGACTTAGCCATACAAGGACCTGCTGTTTGGGACTCTGAAGGTCGGAGACTGTTATCCCTCCCAACCCTTCTCAACAAGTTCAGGCTGTCAGTCCTCTACACTTTGGTATCAGCAGGGAAAATGTTAACACTGTATAATCTGGATTACATTTAACCTTTATAATCTATAAATAGAATTTGAATAGGTTACATCTGTACATGGATCTGAATATACACACCGTGCCCAGCACTCCTTTAGGAGCAGCTGAAGTAGTATTAAATATTACGTTTTAATGAAGTAGTAGTAAATATGCAAGTAAATAAGAAAAAGGCAGCCTGCAAGAAATGTACAGTGGTTATCTGTGTGAACTCCAGCCTACATTTTATACTCTGTATTATTTAAATATTGTGAGAGTTTTGATTTTTATAGTATTTAAAATTATTTTGCCAAATGTTTTATAGTAATTACACTTAAAATCTAGGAATCTCATAAATCTCTTTCTCAGAATGCCCAAATAATCAGTACAGCTTAAGTGGAGACTTCAAAATTTAATTCTCTCAATCATACCCACCAGTGCTGTCCACCAACACTGAAGTTTAGAAATTAAACAAACTATTAATGTAAAGTGTACATATTAGGCTAAATATTTAAGAATACCTTCACCCTTTTTTCAATAGTTATTTTTTATTCTGATAGTAATGGGGTTAACCCTGACTTGACTCATGAGGAAGTAAAATGCCTCAGTATCTCCACTTCAAGATTCTGGAAACCTTCACTCCGGATGGGGTTCCTGTCATTGTTAGAGAACTTAAAGCTATGGGTCACTATTACAGATAAATCCAAGTCTGTGTTTGATATCCAAAGCTCTGTTTCTTTATCACCAAAACATGAACGGTCACTTTGAGGACCTAACTGATATAAAAAGACTGTCTACTTTATCACTATCCAGTAGCATAATAGTAAAAAGTTTCTCCTGTATGGCTGGTACTAACAAGTGGAATGCTGTAATCTGTTAACAAGGCCAGGCGAGGCCTGTGGGAGACAGGCCAGCCTCAGTTTTCTCACAGGCTACGAAGTTAGACATGATAACAGGCTCTCGCTCAATAAAAGACACAAAGGTCATGACTACTGGGAATCAATCTGTGTGTATGCAGGAAAGAAAAATTCCATAAACAAGTGCTGGCTCTACCCTCCATATTTTCTATGCTAAAAGTTATTACTTCGACACCGAATGTAAGTAAGTGATCCTCACAAAATTCTTTCGTGGATATGATCACAAAGGCAGAGAAATTTTTAGACCCCCTGAAAATAAAGCATGCTAAGAAAAAAACCAAAGACGACCAAATAATCTTTAGGTAGCATACAGAGATGGGGTCACACACAAAATGTGTGTATGGTACTCAACATAAAATCTAAAAGTTTTTGCAGTTCAGGATAACTAGAACAAAAGAGTACTTCTTAAACTGGTATTTTTGCATACACAATTAAAAATTCTTACTAGAGGGAAGGGAAACATTTCATTTCATGTTGTGCAATGGAATGTTTAAGCATCATAAGGAAAGAATACTAACTCCTATTTTCTGGATTATTTCAGGAGTACATCTGGTCCTTACAATAAATCTGTACTATTTTCATTTTCTTTGTTGGTTTCCAGACAAAGATTTCTGAAAACCTTTTCTGATGGTTGTTTTCTAACCCACTATGCTGAGCGCCAATAAATATGTTTTTGTAGCTTGGATGTTTCTCTGCATCATATATTAGTTGATTAGATCAGAGAACTATAAGATTCTTGTGGTAAGAAATTCACCATGAGTATTTAGAAGAAACCACAGCAGGTGTGGAACCTGTATATACATTAAAATTTAATGAAAACAAAGCTTAGTTGTGTTACAAATAAACACACTGTACAAATGCCCCAACAAGCTATGATAAAGGCTGAAAACAGAGTGACTCAGAAGTTTTAAAATGGCTTTGTTCCACCATGTAAAAATAAAATATGTAACTAAATGACTAATGGTTTTGGATTGATTTTATTGTAATGACTGGTATGAGGAAACACCGTATGAGAATGTTAGTGATGGATTAACCATAAAAGGTTCAAAAGTTATGTTTAGACAGCAGTACAAATGTTCCAATATTTTGCTGAACCTTTCTCCGACATTTTACTGAAAGCAAAATGCTTCCGATACTTCTAGATAGAACATCTTGGTCAATTTCCCGTACAGGAAATACACAACACTGATCGTATCAGTGCTCACTCCATGCCTTGCAACTTGCCAAAACTCTAATCCGGAGGGCTCCTCACAAGGCGTAAGAATAATTTAGTTTCCCTATTCAATCCTGGATTATGTTGCTAAAATTTATAAGAATGCCAATTAGTATTAATTGCAGTGGTAGTATTTATGATGTGAACACCAATCCAGGAGGAGCTGGACTGTTATAAAAGTAAAAAGAAAAGGAGTACTTGTGGCACCTTAGAGACTAACCAATTTATTTGAGCATGAGCTTTCGTGAGCTACAGCTCACTTCATCGGATGCATACTGTGGAAACTACAGAAGACATATACACAGAGACCATGAAACAATACCTTCTCCCACCCCACTCTCCTGGTAATAGCTTATCTAAAGTGATCATCAAGTTGGGCCATTTCCAGCACAAATCCAAGTTTTCTCACCCTCCGCCCACCCTCCCCCCCCCCCCCCCAACTCACTCTCCTGCTGGTAATAGCTCATCCAAAGTGACATTGTAGGGAGAGTGGTCACTTTGGATGAGCTATTGACAGCAGGAGAGTGAGTTTGTGTGTGTATGGGGGTGGGGGGGTGAGAAAACCTGGATTTGTCCTGGAAATGGCCCACCTTGATTATCATA